GTGTATTAATCTTCGTGGAGAATACTTCGAAAAACAAAAAAGTCATTTAAAACTACCTACCGTGTTGTTTTATTTCCATATGCAAAACTTAAAAGACATCTCTCGCACAGTACAGGTGCCCCCAATCCGGACTTAGGTCCTTTCCGTACAATTGAAGCTTTGGAGCAAGAGTACTCAATGATTATTGAAAATACAAACAGAAACTTCAGTCATCCGGCGCTTGATAGATTTTTAAATTTCAAGACCTATTTCCAAATAGGTGTTTGTAAGGAAGAACAATAACGAATGATGCACTATGAGAAAATAGATAATGAAATATTATTTAAATATAGTGACAGTCTCTTTGTATCAGTTTATTATTTTCGAAATCCGAGATAAGAGGAATGTGCAGCTCCTGACTCTGCAAACAAGATGTACAGTGAATAAAGAAAGCTAAAGAAAAATAAATTTGACTACGTTATGACTCTGGCTAAAAACTATATGCCACAATGTGGTCGTGGTTCTAAGAAGAAAATACCATCAGAGCTTTTCGCCAGATGATAAATAAACTTCCGCATCAGAATTCAGTGAAGATGAATAAATGGAAATATGTTAAGTTTGTATCAAAATTTGAATTAAGTAATGTATTAGTTTATATCGTTCAGTAACTTAACAAAAAATAACATTTTTAACGACTAAGTTCATTTTATTTTAATTTTAACCCTTAAAAAATCATAAACCAGTCAAGTCCATTAATTATCCCCTCACAACTCTTTAATTTTTTTATTCGCAGATCGATGAATATAAAAAATATCCAGCAGAACTACCTGTAATTGACAACAAATGCCCCATGTGACTTGACTGGTTTATGCATTCGATTCCTTAATTGTAGGACTCCATTATATAGTCGCCATCTCGAAAACCACGTGGCAAGTTTCAGGTGTTACATAAGAATTGCACATCACAAAAAAGTCACGTCACTCCTCGGACTTTGGTAGTCCAATACAAGGACATAACCCATTGTACATTTTGAGAATCGATCCAATGACGGCGGAGTTAAGGGTGAAAATAGATGAATTTGGAAGTTCTTAATCCAGGGATGTTTGCCCAATTTTACGTTTCATAAAATACACCTCACCATCTAGGGATAATCTTAAAATATACTAAGTGACATATAAATCCGAACACCCAGTTTAAACGGTTTTATTTTAATAAAATTTTGTATAAGTACTTAATGAAGCATAATAAGTAAATGATAAAAATTTAAAAATGATTGCACTGCTTTAAAGCCCTTTGACCTTTAATAATGTGTGGATGCACCCTGATGTGCTACGCATTCTCCAACGCGCCTAGGCATGCTTCTGATCAGGTGGTCAATGTCCTCCTGTGGTATCTCATTCCAGGCAACCACCAACTCCTCTCGAAGTGCTTCTAGAGTCTGAGGAGGACGTTGCAAATTGAGCAATCTCCTACCCATCATATCCCACACGTGCTCAATTGAGGATAAGTCGGGAGATCTTGGTGGCCATAGTAACAATGTGACATCATTATGTTGAAAGAAGTCTATTGTGACTCTTGCAACATGTGGTCGGGCATTATCTGGTTGGAAAGTTGGATCTGCCAGGGTGTCAAGATAGGGTAAAAGACGGGGTTCTAGAACTCCGTGGATATAACGCTGCGCGTTCATGTTACCTCTGATGAAGATTAAAGGTGACCTGGAACCATAAGCTATAGCACCCCAAACCATAACTCCAACAGTGTGATGAACATGTCTTTCAACAAAAAACTGTGGATTCCTCCTTTCACCACGTCGCCTTCTAATCCTGGCACGACCATCCTGCATGCCTAAACAAAATCTAGACTCGTCACTAAAGACAATACTGTTCCATTCCTGATCCCAGAGTGACCGTTGTCTGCACCACTCAAGGAGATTACGTCGGTGTTCTCGAGTTAAAGGGAGGACCCAGTGTGGCCGGGATGAAAACAAGCCAAAACTTCTCATTCGTCGGTAAACACTTCGCATGCCAATAGGTCTTCCCTGTTCTGCAAACCATTCATTTGCAATGGACCTGGTAGTGGAGAAACGGTCCCTTAAGGCCAATAATCTTAGGCGGCGATCTTCACGGTCTGTTGTTCTACGGCGGCGTCCAGTGCCCCTTGCTCTTTGCGTACGGCCTTCTCGAAGCCATGCCTGACAACACCTAACCACAGTGTCTACACTTCTTTGCACTCTAACTGCAATTGCCCGGAAAGAAAGTCCAGCTTCCCGAAGTTCCACTATACGGCCCTTATCAAACTCACTAAGTTGACGAAATCGTACAGGTCTCCGTACTCTAGGCATCGTAACCGATCGTAAAGGATGTCAAGAACCAAAATCCGCCAACGTTGATTCTTTACTGCGGCTGAAATATTCATTTTTAGAGCGTCAGTGAGTTAAAAAAAAGCAGTATAAAAACCGGAATGTCCAACTGATAAGGCTGAAAATTTTTTCACTTGTTATTTACAGTAAGATAAATACATTCACCAACTTTTATTAAAATAAAACCATTTAAACTGGGTGTTCGGATTTATATGTCACTTTGTATACTTTTTTCTGCTCCTAACTGTAATGACTTTTTCTACTATGATCCTGTATCATACCGATCCCTAAATTTCTTCAAGATCATCATCAACCATGGATTCCACAAGAAATAAATCCCTGTCTTCGATTATGGCACTTCCCTTGTTCGGTGAAATGTATATATCTTCAATCCAATTTGCAAACAGCAACAACTGTGTTGTTGACTAGACCGCTAATACACTTAAATATGATTTATAGCGTCAATAAACAATTCCCTTCTAGCTATTTTGAAACTGACCTTCAGGTACCACAAAAAGAAAATATCAGCCTAAGATACTTATTTATAGACCCCTGTTGGGATTATTACTTCAGCCGTTTCAAGAAATATATGGCTTTGTTAATCCACTTAATCCACTTAAAATATTTGAATACTTTATTATACCCTAATTTACAGGATCCGATTTTCGGCTTTAAGCGCCGTAAATAAGGTTTCAATGACACCATTATTTGTGAATTTATTTCAAAATTTTATAGTTTTCGGGTCTCCTAATAAGGCCATAGAATATTCTGGTCGTATAAAAGGTTGTTAACGTCCCCTCTATCTGACGAATTGTCACGTAAAATGGATTAGCAGTTGCAAAACATGGGGATATTCGCAACTTTTTGTTTGCTGAATGCCCGAAGCGAACGACCTCCATGATTGTGATGACTACCAGACAGAAGATTCTTCCAATGGAACTAGGGTAGTAATTCAATTTTTGACTATTTTCAATAATAATGTTAAATTCACAATATTAAGCATGCCAAGTATCTCTATGGTGTTTGTGGAACCTCGTAAGTCTAACTGTCTCGACAATATATATTTACGAATTGCCCAGAAATTAAAAAATTTGTAACCGTTTTTATCACCTATTTATCAGATCATTTAGACGTTGACTTCTCCATAGAATATAAACCGTATCCATTAACATCTAAGAGTTTTAATTATCGTCCAATTACCGACGTTGACTTTTTCATTCTATATAATAAATAGTATTGAGCACATAAATTGGGAATTTGTCGAGAATCTAGTTTACTGAATGTAATGGGTGATTTTTTTGCTAGTATCTTTTTGGCAACACTGTTTTTGACAGATGACGCGTGAATCGTGTCTTGTGTCATTGTCAAAATTGTTCAGTTTGGTCTATAATTTAACCATGAATCGACTTTCGAACGAACAACGCTTGCAAATTATTGAATTTTATTATCAAAATTCATGCTCGGTTAAGAGAGTGCATCGAGCACTGCTTCCAATTTATGGGCAATTTGGTCGGCCCTATTGATTCGGTGAACAGTTTATCTCACGTTTGGGGCCCGCAATTGGCCGCCTAGATCGTGTGATTTAACGCCGTTGGACTATTTCTTGTGGGGCCATGTTAACGCTAATGTCTACAGGGATAAACCAGCAACGATTGACGCACTGGAAGCCAATATTGAAGCATTTATTCGTGAGATACCGGCCGATATGTTGGAGAGAGTGTGCCAAAATTGGACACAAATAAAGATTTAATCGTTTTTTCCGAATTTTTTGTGTTTTTTTGAAAATCAAATCTTATACCTCTTAAAAAGTCACCCGATATAACCTAAAAATTCGTCACAGCCCTGGTTGATGAAATTGACAGAAATATTCCAGTAAAATCAAAAATTGTCAAAAACAGTCTTACCGTCATTTGGGGTTAAATTGATCAAAATATTCAGATTATTCGCATAATTTTTATGTCACAATTTTATTTGGCTATGATGATTGAATCTGTTACATATTATGAGCAAGAATCGCACAGTAGGTGCACAGAACCCCAATGTTTGAAACTATGACCATAACGAATTCAAAAAGGGCTGATCGATCTCATACGTGTTTTGGGGCGAGATTGTTCACGTAGTATTAATCGTGTGCAAAATGAGCGTACAGGCTCCTAAATGAACGATCTCAACTCTGGTTATTATATTTCTACTGGTTACAGAACTACAGCATTTTAATGTAGGTGGGGTGAGATTGTTCACTATGGGTGAGATTGATCAACTTTATTTTACTCTACATATTCCAATAAATAATTGCTGAAAACACCTATTTGGATAATAAACTACATTTATTTTTCCAGGTAACTCACAAAAAACTATTTTCACATATTGAATTAGGTGCTTACCCATATCTATAACTAATACAAGTAACTTAAATAAGTATCCTAACAGTCGAGGTAGAATATAAAAAAGAAAAACTACGTTTCGAATATATCTATCATATAATCAAAACGATAGGTGATAAGGCCATCTGAATTTTCGATGACAGGATCCGGCAACACAGCTACTATGTCTGGAAAATCCACTATAAATTCGTCGCCATCTTGAGCTTTAAACTTATTTTTAGATCCATCTATAGATGTTAATCCCAACACCTCGAATTCTCGAACATTTTGATTCTCGGTCACATTTTGCACAACGGCAATATATCGATAAACTGTTTTTTTCTTGATCCACCACATACTTTAACTAGAAGAAATTTGCCAGGAAATATATCTCTTTGTCTTAGTTCAAAGTATTCGGTTTCCGGTTCGGCGATGGTATCTAATGAGTTTTCACTGGAGCTATAATTAGTATGAGGATCGTCGTTTGTTTTCGAGTCACTCGATTCTTCATTTGGAACAACACTTTTCCCAGAGTCTACAGACAGCTTTTGACGCCTTATATTCCTTCTTGATGGCCCTACCATGAATCGCTGCTGTTGCAGATATCCTACAATAACGTTGCCCAGCGCCAGTATTCGTATCAGTAGTTTGGCTTGGAATTTTTCGCAGAACCCGTTCAGCATCCAGAGGAGCTATACCAGTTGCACGAAATGAACTTATCAAGTCTTCCTTTATAGTATTGTTATGTTTTTGGTTCGTTTCTACAAGAGTAGAAGCTAATAGACTGGGAAAATCCTTTTTATCCAGAGTAGATTGATGAAGATGAGTGTTCTTCCATTTTGTTAGGGAAGATCTCCAAGCTATCTTAAAAGGACGATAAAATCCGACATCTAATGGCTAAGTGAGATTGGTCGAACACTTTGGGAGGCAAACGAAAGCGACATCGTTTTCTCTACACTGTCTTAAAACGCTTTCTGTGAAATGGGAAGACAGGTTGTCTCCAATTAACACTTTTCGACCAGGAAGAGATTTTGCATGAGGAAGGAAAGCTGATTCAAACCAATCTGTAAACGTTTGAGCGTCCATCCATCCATGTTGGGTCCGATTATATCGCGAGCCGACACTGCAGCATCTATTGTTGCAGCAAGGCTCGCCCTTGGGACCAAGCTCAATCCACTGCTTCCACATTTTCTCAGCCTTATAAATAACGTATGGTGGAAGCAGCACACCAGAAGCCGACCCGCACATCATTATGGTAGTAGCAGTTTTGGTAAAGTTGCATATCCTTTCAGGGTACTTTGTGCCGCGCCGAAACAGCATTTTTTGTTTTCCGGGATCATCCTGCTCATTTGTTTCATCATAGTTGAATATATTACAAGCTGGGATGTCCTTTAATGTTTCACTCAAATTTTCAAAATAATGGACTATATCTTCCCTTGAAACATTGGCCCGAGCTCTCTTGATGTTCGATGCAACTTTTTGGCGAATATCTTTCTTATGTCGTTGTAAGAAAGAACGAGCCCAATCTGTTCCAGGCATGTTTGCTCTAAACTTTCCAATATTGCGACCATGACTATCCAGATAGCTTTTAGCTATATAGCGCAAATCAGTAAGCGTAAGTGGGAATCCCCAATCTGAACAGATAGTTACTGCTTTTACGAAGGCAAGCTCTTCCGCATTTGAAAAAACTGTTTGACCTTCAGATTTTAGAGTTCTGATTCCCATATACTTATTCCGAAGGGTACCAAAAGGGATATTATGTGCAGCCGATGCTTGACGGAGGGACCATCCATCTTCTACCATCTTTTTGAGAGCAGCTTCTAGGATCTCTGGGGCATAATCCACGTAACGGAGTGATCCAAGTCTTCTTTTATAATTCCTCGGCATGATTAGGGTTCATCAACTGGAAGAAACAATAAAATTGTAGCTGAATCCAATCACAATTTTATTAACAATACAAAAAAATGTACTCATATTTTTAGATATGGTGTGATTGATCACTGAAAATTGATCAATCTCGCCCCGTCTATGCGAACAATCTGACCCCAACCATTAAATATCTCAATATTATGAAAAGCACGCCACTGTTCATTCCCGCTCGACTACACCATAACCTCAAAATATCAACAAACATGCATAGTATGACGCAAACAAAAATACACATCAGCATTTTAACTTACCTGGCAAATTTTCAGCTAGTTATTCTATGAGCCAAAACCGACACTTTCAAAAACACTGACTTTTTACATGAAATAAGCGGCACCGCTAGCTTATACGCATACCGTATCTCCAGCCATGTTTCCTCTGACGAACACAATAGCTTTCGCTGTGAATGGTTCTCTAGTTCTGGCGCTAAATTCAAATCTATGAGAAAATGATCTGGTGATCAAACTCGCCCCTTGAGATCAATGTCACCCCAATCGACGGTACTTTTAATTCATCTTGGTCCAACTTAAATCTTCAGCGCATGAGAGAGCAATACCAATTTTTGTCAGAACTACACAAATCTTATTGTAAAATTGTTAATAAAGAGTATCTCAACTTATACAGGCGTCAATATATCGTGCAATAAATCAAGCCAAAAAGCAAGTTAATGATCGTCACATTAGGAAGAGTAAGCAAGAAAAAGAAGAAAATAAAGAAAAGAAAAGAAAGAAAAGAAAGAAAAGGAAGAAAAGAAAGAAAGAAAGGAAAGAAAGGAAAGAAAGAAAAGAAGAAAAGAAAGAAGAGAAAGAAAAGAAAGAAAAGAAAAGAAAGAAAAGGAAGAAAAGAAAGAAAAGAAAGAAAGAAAGAAAAGAAAGAAAAGAAGAAAAGAAAGAAAGAAAGAAAAGAAAGAAAAGAAAGAAATAAAGAAAAGAAAGAAAAGAAAGAAAAGAAAGAAAAGAAAGAAAAGAAAGAAAAGAAAGCAAGAAAGAAAAGAAAGAAAGAAGAAAGAAAAGAAAGAAAAGAAAGAAGAAGAAGATAAGAAAGAAAAGAAAGAAAAGAAAGAAAAGAAAGAAAGAAAGAACCAGAAACGAACGAAAAAAAGAAAATCAAAGACAAGACAGAAAGAAAGAAACACCAAAAACAAAACCACCCCACTACCCCAAAAAAGACAAGAAAAAAATACAAAGACTCAGAAATAAAAGCAAAGACCATAAAGAAAGACGAAATACGAAGACAATCACGACACTCAAGCAAATACACGAAAAACAATAAAAGACTGACCACGCAAAGAATCCGTACCATCTTCGTCTTTTTATTGGCACTTTCCTCTATGCTGCCACTCAAAAAAAAGTACAACAGTACAACAAAGAATAAGCATAGAGTATTACAATGCTAATAAGAGTAATAATAATAGTTGTATAAATAAGTTGTGAACAAAATATAAATTATAATAGTTTTACAGTTGAAAAAGTTAAATGTTACAATGAAAATTTTTGTGAAGTTAAAGGCTACAAACGCAACTAATTTAAGTATATTTATCCATAGTGAATATTTTAATGTGTTTTCTAAATTTTTCAAAATTTAGCAATTTAGCTCGTGGAAGTTGGTTATAGAGAATAACTGGATTATATGTGAAGCATTTACGAATAAAGGCTGTCTTGTAGAGATGCTAACGAATATCTCTTGTGTGAATATTACTCCTAGTTATCAGTTTATCCCTTAGAAATGGAGGATTGTACTGTGAGTAAAAGATTATGGGTAAGTGAATAAGTGTAGCTCATATAGTTTTTAATACTCTCAGCTATATCACGTTTCTTAAATAAGAGCTAACATGCTAATACTTTCTTAATCCATTCTACATCTACATCTACATCTACAAGCAGAAAATTTGAAAACAATATGGAACATAAACGGTAGCACAATAAATAATTTTAGACATGGTTAGAGATTGAGGTAAAACGCAGTGTATGGATAAAGTATATGTATCCACGTATCCATGTTACTGAGTATCTTCGAGTATCAATGGAGATGCTTGAATACAGGACAAGCAAGACAATATAGGGTTATCCAAATTAAGTGTCCACCATTAGTAACTTTGTTATTAGTGAAAATACAAAGTTGTTTGAATTAGCAAACTAGTAGCATTTTTAACGCTGGTAAAAATGAGAAATAAAAAAAAACAATTGAGAGTCGTTATTTTGATTTTTTTCAGTAAAATAACATTTTTTTAAATGGAAACCCCTGTATATTATATTTTTTTCTGTTAAAGCATCAAATTTTAAACAAAAAAGCTTACAATAACTTTTCTCCTAGGTTACAAATTGTTGAAGTTATGGCCTCCAATCTGAAACAATTAAATTGTATCGACAAACTTTATTTTCAACATCAACTTATAATCTTACAAAATACAATAACAATTTTTTTTAAAGAAGATGCTCGAAAACACCACCTTGTTCTTCAATACATTTTTGGGCACGTTTTTCAACTGCTCGCACTGTCTTAAGTATGGTCCTACCATCTATCTGGGTTATCTTTTCCCTAACTGCAGTCTTTAACGCGTCAAGGTTATCGTACCTTCGCTTGTAAATTTGGTTCTTTAAGTAACCCCACAAGAAGTAATCAAGTGGGTTTAGATCTGGTGATCTGGGAGGCCACTGTATTGGGCCATTTGTTCCTATCCACTGATCATTAAAAGTAGTACTTAGAAAATGATAAGTACCTCTGGAGTTGTGGGCAGGTGCGCCATCTTGCTGAAAATGCAGATGATGTCTACTTATAAGATCCAATTCGTCTAAGAAATTAGTCAGAATTTCTGACATAAATTCCACATATCTTTCACCAGTTAGGGTTCCCTCATAAAAGAACGGGCCAACAATTTTTGAACCAATTATACCGCACCAAACGTTGAAACTGAAACGGACTTGTGGGCCTCTTGGATGTACTAACAAAAGATTTTCTCTTGACCAATAATAGTGGTTTTTTCTATTAAACATTCCAGAATTTGAAAAATTTGATTCATCTGTCCATAAAAGGTAACGAAAGTTATTTACATTTTGGCGACAGAAGCTAAGATACCAATGGCAAAAAACAAGTCTTCTCTCTGGATCCCCTGCCAAAAGCGTTTGAACTGGTCGGTACTTATACGGAATAAATTTGTATTTTTTTAAAATCCTTTGAACAGTACCATAACTGAAATTAGAGTCCTTGAGAATATCTGCTATTGAATTCTCACGATAAGCTTCAAAATATCCAATAACTGCAATTTCCGTGGCCTCGCTTATTATGAATTCTTTTTTTGCCCTTGTTTTAGCAAAAACATTTTCGTTGCCCCTAAATTTTCGATAAAGTCTCAGAAAATATCGTTCATACGGTTGAATGCGAGCGGGATATAATTCACTGTAGTATTCTCTTGCTCTCAAGGAGGATTTTCTGCACACTAAATAGCATTCTAACATATCACACTTTTCTTCATGGGAGAACATTTTTCTTTAAATTAATGACACAATAAAGCTTATAAACAAGTATTTACACTAATGTTTGACATTATTTGATTTTATCATTGTTTTCCAAAGCCTTCTAGTTGCGAGTATGTCCAGTTTAACAATTTGTCGCTTATCTTAATGCTGTCAAATCGCGAACGCCATGTTGTTTTCATAGCCGTCTTAATATTATAATACTGCAAATAATTAAAAATATTTATCGTTATTTTGACTTTAGCGGAAAAGTCATTATGAACTTTTTTGTTTAAAAATTGATG